CCAGACCGCTGACCGGCGTGGATGATTATGTTGCGGAGTTATCTCTCTGGTCACAGGGTGATTCTTTCATCAGTTTTTTAGACTTGCATTTTACCAAGCTTTCTTCAACAGGGTGTTACTGGATAGATACTTAGATAGGTGGTTTGAGCTGTTACATGGATCAGGATATATCTTTTTAATGTACAAAAAATATCGAGGTGAGTTAACTGGGGTTAATTCAACTATATGATTGAAATTTACTGTCATGTATCATTCCCCTCGCGGAGCACAGAAACCTTGGACTTGGAGCCCATGTTTTTCACGTTATGTTGGAGCTTGTAATGGTTGTATTCATGTGTTAGTGGTTATTTATTGCATTTTTATGTTTTCTTCTCCGCAGCATCCATGGTCCACGGATTTGTGGGTGCTGTTGAAGTGAAACGATGCTCCATACATTGTTGATCTCCCAGGGAAGCGCTTTAACAATTTCTCCAAAAGAAGTTTGTTGGTTCTTAAAAACACGAACTATATTGTATTTGCTTTGATGGTTAATCGATCAAATTCATCAAATTCCTTTTCTCCTCCCCCCCGCTGTTGTACGGCGAGACCGATGACTGATGTGTGAATTATCTCTTTGTTCAGGGTGCGATTCTTTTCATTATTTTTCAGTCTGGAATTTAACCCAAGTTTACTTGAATAGAGCGTTATGGTATTTCTACTCATTCAGATAGATCTCGCTGTCTTTTGGGCATCCAAGTCGAGATTTACACAGCATATTATTCTCAGGGTATCGCTATCGAATTGAAAAACATTTCGTGGCTTTTTCTGCGACACTACAATGATGGAGCAAGACGACCTCGCCTCGCCCGCCTAGATGGGGAAAAAGTATCGAAACTTGTTTCTTTTCCTTTTATTAATTATGCCAGATTATCTTCTCTTCATTTGTTTTCTTGGCAGCTTTAATGGAAGAAAAAGGAAATGCCCCCTTCCCTGCTTTTTACGAACGCAGTTTTTCGTTGTTGCTTTGCAGATTTTTAGCACCTAGGCTTAAGGAAGAACACCCTCCCTGACAGCTTATTCTGGACTTGAAGGGTCCATATGACCCCGCGCGCTTTCCTCTTATGAGGCCCAGGTGTTGATATTCACCATCTCTGGCCCACACATTCTCATTTGCCCGAGACGACTGCTGCTCTTAGGCTTCCTTCCTTACATCAAGGGTGATTCTTTCTACGATGTTCTCAAGTCTTGAGAAGACTTATACTTCTCGTCCTAAATACTTGTCTTATATTCTTGGGATTTTAATGGGATGTTAAGTATGTTTCGTTATTTTAATTTTTTTTTTGGCACCCATGCCTCCTAAGTGAAAAGTAAAGGGATTCCTTCTTGTCCTCTTCTTTTACAGTGGAATCTGAGAACAAACTCTCTATGATTTGCCCATCTCTCTTTTCTTTTCTTTTCTTTTCTGGAAACTGCAATATTACACTTACTTTCGGCAATTTACTAAATAATAAATTGATAGATTATCTATATTTATCTTAGAGAAAAATAAGATAGAAAGATAATTTTTATTTTTATTTTTATTAATAATGAGTGAAACTTCATAGCAGGATTTTGAGAAGAAATTTATATGAATGATATCAAAATCAAATTGAATTAAATTTAATTAATCAAATTAACTTAATGTTTTTTTCATTAAATAACTAACTCATGTGAGCGGAACTAAAATCAAGCTCCTCCCAAACTTTGATGGCGAATGAAATAACACGTTATAATCTAGGTTCTATACTGTGCATTTATGCGCCGCCGTTATCCTACTATTCTAGTTATTTGTTTTAGCCATTTCTAGTTCACCCACATTAAAGATCAATTTCAAACCCCAATTAAAATTTTAACATATTATTAAGTTTTTGTGCAAAATATGTGTTATTTTAAATGATTTGTGCATTTAGCTTTGTGTGTGCATGCCATTAATTTTGTGCCTGAATGTTTGAATTTTTTGTGTTTAATTTTTTAGTATGACGTGTTGTATATGAATTTACATTATGAATGTATGTTTTAGTATACATGTTTTCCTATAAAAAATTAAATAAAAATAATTATATCTATTGTGACCTTGTTTTTTTTTAAAAAAATTGTTTAGTTAAACATCAACATAAATTGGTGAGGGGGGCAATACCTTTTTAATTCATCTTTTTATCATGCAATAAACTGTTATTTTACTAATAAGGTCACTTTTGAAGTGACAACATATAATTTTAAAATATAAAAAAAAACTATAATGTTTTTCTTATCATATATATATAAATTTTAATATAATGACATATTATCCATTGTTGTTGTGAGTGGATTCAGACCGAGTCAATTTGACACTGCTTAGGCCTTGAGTAATGCCCTTAAGGCTTATTTTGGATACAATCAAAAGAGTGGAGCCAAATCTATATTTTTCACTATTCATACAAATCTAACACCTATTTTAAAATCATAAATTGAAAAATCTCATTTTTAGATATTCACATCTAAACTTTTTATTAATTGATGAATTGTTTTTTAGTGATTAACTTAGAATTTCTTCATAAATCAGCAAAATCTCCTTTTTATGGATCAACATCAAAATATTTTATAAATAGGCAAAATCTTCTTTTAGGGATTAATTTCTATTTTTTTTTCTAAATTGACAAAATGGCCTATGTATATGGATTAACATCAAATGCTTTCTTTTTTGACAATCAATAGCATGTGTGGAATAAGATTAGAAGAAAATGCATAGTAAAAGTAGTTTTATATTTGAAAGGATGTGATAAATGTGAGGCAGCTATTTTCTTAGCCATAATTAACATAATATCTAAATTTTTTAGACCAATGTCAATTTTAAATTTTTTAGTTTTTTTTAATTAGAATGTGACAACTTTATTATTTTTGTTTTCCCATTTAATTTCAAAGAGTCTTGTATTCATCATGGTGTGACAATGTTGTCAGCATCTTTTCTTAAAACAATGCTTTAAGATTTTTATAATTATACGTTTCAATCCAAAACTTCATTTTCTTTACATATCGGTTTTTAAGAATGAGAAGAATGAGAGAGAGTATTGACTGAAAATGATAGGGAGAGACAAGACATTCGAACAAAACATTCGTTGATGAAATTTCATTAACAAAACAAAAGTCAATTTTGATTTCAAAGTCTTTCTCTTAATAGAAATGCTATTTTTAATGGTTCAAGCGTGCTGGGCCACCTAGACCTGTTCACTGGCCTTTGTTATTCTCTTTTAAAAAACAATTCATTCAACTACTTTCTTACAAGCCCTTTTATCATATTGTTAAATAATTTTTTTAAAAAAATATTATTAAATCTATTTTGAAATCAAATTGTGAGTTTAGCATGTTAATTGAGATTAATTTAGAATGTTTTTATATCAATATTGAAAAACAAAAGATTTCATCTAGATTTTTTAAGTGAAACTAGATTTTACTTGTTGTTGAGTCACTTGAAATAATTAAAAACATAATTTAAACAAATAATTATATTAAAAAGTTTTAAATTAGACTTGCTGAGTTGGAACTAATGACACCTTCAAAAAATTCCCTTCACAACGTGCAAATATTTTATTATTTTATAACTTTAGATACAATCATTTCAAAGTTATTAGAATGTGTTTTTACTTAAAACTTGCTTTTTCAATAATTATATAATATTATCTATAAAATAAATATTATGGTAAACAAATAATTTAAACTTGTAATGTAAAAAAAAAACCTTCATATCCAATTTCTTATAATTTTTAAAGCATACATTAAATTTTAAGTTTACTTATTTTTTTGCTGGTAAAAAAGACGTTAATGACGTTTATGCAATTTTTTTTTTTTTTGCGCCACGTAAAAGAAACTTCTGTTCTAACTTCTAACTAACTATCTAGTTAAATTTCCTATGAGTCACGCACGAGGGAGGGATGGTGGTTGCTGGTCGCTACTTTAACGCGGGAAAGAGGGAGTTGTTAAC